CTCTCATGTCCCGAGAGGAGAAAGGAAGGCTCAGTACCACTGAAGCTAGATCCAGGAACAGGGTTTGTGCCAGAGAAAATGTAGCACCATAAGCATCATTAAAATGCAATTAATCAGCACAGACTTAGCGTAAATTATTTTGGAAAATATATCTTTTAAGTTCATTCTTAATTCTCTTGCCTAAATAGCATACAATGCTTATGATGCAGTGGTGGTTTTTGGTTTTTTTATAGAGTGTATGAACTTTTGATTGCATAGCGTTCAGCCTTGGACTGACTTTTAAATGTTTCCCGTTACGCTTACAACAGACCTTTTTTTCCATCCCACACAATTAGTACGTTAGGTCTTAAGTGCAAAGGTTGTTCCTTGAGGCCAGCACGAATACTGGAGTTTGAACTGTGTTTTTGCTGTTAGTCTAATTGGCTAATTCCAAGAAGATTACTAAATTAGACACGCTATAGTTGATAAACAGTATTAATTTAGGAAAGGAAAACACAATGCTCTCAGTAAAGTTTAAAAAGCAGATAATGACAGAGCACCACAGAGGGGCTTATCCAGCCTGTGAATGTATTTAAACTAGAGCTGAATATTGCAAAAATAAGGGCACTGGACTGTACCTTAAAAATCCCGACATTTGGGAGTGTCAGTTTATGCTAATGGCATTAAAACTAATGCGGAAATTTGACACAGATATCAGCTTCCAACAGTAATTTTTTATAAAGTCATTGACAAAATTCTTGCTAGTTTCAACATGAAAAGAACTAAGCGAAACATTAGAAATGTCTCCAAGAAGGGCAAGTAAATACTGCAGAGAACAGTGGAAATTCTCCCACAGTTTTACCACTGACTTTTGGGGGGAGAAGACAGGGACGATTTTACTCTTCTTAAGTAATGAAGAACCTCTGGAGACTTACAGTATAAATGTAAGCAGGAGTATGTTTTCTTTGTAATAGAAGACAAACTAGAATTTTGTCTAGACAAACTTAGAATTTCATTTTTAATAACCTTATTTACATTTGCTTCACCGCTGGATGATACACTGCATTCATCCAGCCAGAAAACTTGTCCAGCACATCCGGACATCCATTCCAGTGGAACATGTTGTTTGCATCACATGCGTGCTCGCTCGCTCGCTCTTCAGCAGCAGAGGTTGGACGACGCAGGGGGAGGGGGTGGCTGTCTAGTTCTGGCTATGAAGGGAATGTTGTGATTTGAACATACACTGCAAATTTCATTTTTTCAATGAGAGTGGGGTGTGTTCTCAGTTTGTGGCTTCAAGTTACGAATTACTGTTGAGCAATAAACAGTATTTTTAAGTTGTTTTACATACTATTGCTCAGTAGGTCATGGCAAGTGTAATTTCAGGCTATAAATAAGCAGCAAGAAACACTTGTTGACTTCACTAAGATCTATACCACTTAACTGTGATCAAACTACTGTATTTTATATAAGCATGGACTTTTTTTAAGAAAATAGGGGGAGGTTTTCTGCAGCTTTTTCCTATGCATTTTCTTTTTTTTCCTCTGAAACTCAGTTTGTCCTTGTGTCACAGAGTAAGGATGTTGCCTCAAGCCTTGTATAGGTAGGGAAGTTTACCATAGCTCAAAAAAAAAGGAACATATACAAGGAATTAGTTGATAATAGAGCATTATCTGGGGAGGAAATCCTGTTGTGTAACCAGAAAAGCAAAGTCAGAGACTGAAGGAGTATTGTAGTAAATCAGATGAAATATCAACAGATAAGATACCACTGTGAATCTGATTCAAATTTGGCTGACGGAAGTCAGCTATTGAATTCAAAGTAATTTGGATGAGACTGGGGAATAGGTTACCTCTTTACACACATGCAAGAAAAAGAAATCTTTAGGTAGCTAAAAGTAGAAAGGAATAGCTAATAAATATCTTGGTTAAATATCTGTGGAGGATTTGAAATAATAACCAAATCAACTGTTTCTTGAGTTCATTAAAGTCTATACAAAGGATAGAAATGTTGTATTGTTGGTCTGCAGGAGGTAGAAGGGATGGCTATAATAACGTGCATATTGGGAAGTAGATGTGCCCTGATAAAAGTGTCGTATATATCTTGTCAATCAAATGACAAAGCTGTAGGTATGCTAATACTAATACTTACTATTTGTAGATCAGCACCTATAGGTAAATAATACCTGACAAAACACTGTCAGTGCACAGTAATTGTCCAGGTGATTTTCTAGACTTGAAGTGGGAAAAACACAGGCAATAGAAGCCTGTGTGCATATTTGTACAGCAACATTTTTGAAAAGAATAAGATAGGAAAAAAACATGAATAAAAAGTGAGTTTTAAGAAGGGCTTGAAGGAATAGTAGTGTGATAGAATGGGTTAAATAAGTAAATAAGGAATTCCGTCTTATTTTACATGTGGAAATGTTGAACAATGTAGACACAGGGCATGCTCCAAAGGAGTATTTGCATGCTAGTTTGTGTTTGGCCTGCAAATGATAATGTTTGGTTCTCTCCCAAAGGACTAATTGAGAAACCCATCAAAATATAATGTGGAATAAATGGTTTTTGAGGATTTTCCATTACTCACCCAATAAAAGAGTATTTTTTTCTACAGAGATGTGACAATCTCTGTTGCAGGCTGAGGAGCAGCATGGTGGGTTTGGGCGTTGTGGAAGATTGAATAAAGAGTGAGTCAGAACAAGGAGGGTGGGATAGTCTTTGTCTCCCATCCTCAAATCAGCCTTCTACTGCTTATGGGTCCCATGTAAACACTGTACAATAAAGCTGTAGGTTGACACTATCAATCTTGGAAGATGCTTGCACAATTAATATTCCTTATCATATATGATTTACAAGTATCATATAACTTGTATTTTAAACCGGCTTAAAACATGAGGATGTAGCCTAACGTCAGCAGTATATTAATAAAGGAATACAACAGGAATGTTACTTAAGAGTTCTTAAAGAGAAAAGAGAAGGAAAAATCCTGGTCTGCCACATTACCATGTGGTGTTACAGAGTCAATTCGATTTCATCTGTATGGATGATTTATCTAGATGGGTGAGACAATCTAACAGCTCACTGTGGCTGAAACATTCCTACTTTTTTCCTCCACTTCTCCCTTTCAGCTTTCTCCTTGACTCAGACTTCATCTTCCTACTGGTTTGTTTGTGCCAGCTGTGGCCCTTGTCAGACCCATAAACTGAATGAACTCAACTAGTAGAAAACTAACACCCACTCCCGCCCCACCCGCCCACCCCAAGTACAGTTTTTGCCAGAATAGAAAGTTGAATTGTCTGCACAAAGGGTCTCAGAACTGCCATAGATGGGAGAAGGGAGATGGTGGACAATGTGCAAGAGCAAGGAGAAGGACCGCAAATCTATTTTAAAGTAAGCATAGTCTTTCATCTTGAACTGACATCTAAAGATAATGCTTGCTCTGACTTACCTGACAAACATGATTATCTCTGCCTCAAACATAACAAAACAGCCCAGAAAATTCATGGCTCAGACAGAGATCTGAGACTATGTAGATGAGTGACTAGGGAGTTTGATGGTGATTTTGGAAGTGAAATCAACTGGATGACAGCATCTTATGCACCAAAGAAAATGTTCTACAAAAATGTTAGCCTGCACTGGACCCTCTGAGATTGAAGACTGAAAACTGAGACCGGGACCTATGCACATCAAGTTTACTTCAAGACATACAGAGTCCAGTACTCTGCTGCACTTGGAAAAAATGATTGACAATACTATGGGCCATATTGTAAGATGGAGCAAGGAGGATTTGCTGGGAATATCCTCATGGGATGTTGAGGCTTGTTTGGGGCCTTTTGGCATACCTGCTTTACAAAATTAGAAATTGTAATCATTAGTACTAAGATAATTAATAATAGTCTGATGCAAGCAATTATTTCAGTATTAACAAGATATAAGACTATCATGTAACTTTGGGGGAACTCTTGGACGCGATCATAAGCTTGGTGTGCTGAATCATACCTATGTCATATAGATTGATTACTCTCAAACTGTCTTAAAAACAAGGCTTCTATCTTCCTGATTTTGTAGGATTTACTATTGTTACTTCTTAAAAGTAGAAAGCTGAGAACTACCTAAGTGCTGTATAAATTTAAATATTCTAAGGGACACTTTCATTCCAGTATTATATTTTCATACAGTATGTAAAAGCATACATTGATTTAAAATTTGGTCGCAGTCTGGAAATTTCACTTGTGAACAGTGTTTTCTTTGGCAATTATTTAGTGCAGTACTGTATTTCCTGGCATGCATCCAAGTAAACAAAAATGTGTACAAAGACCACTAGAAATTGTTGCTTTGTTCAGACTGGACAAAACACTGTCTGCTAGAGTTATTAAGGCAAATATAGGCAAAACCCCCTTACATTCATCTAACAGTGTTGGAAGAGTTGTAGTTGCCAAATCCTTTTGTCTCTTAATAGTCAGATTATGATTCCCTTATGCTGAGTAGCATTTTCCCATTTAAAGTAGTCCTATTAGTATCAATGCAATAGATAGTCATATAAATATCTACGCAATTAGAGAATAGCATTATCTGAAGTTAGCAAAGAGAATAAATATTAAAAAATAATCTTATACACTTTCTCAATAGGTAGTTTTCTGGATATAAGAATTGGGCCCTATTCCTCCAATCTGACTAGTAGCAGAAAAATCAAAATCCCGTGCAGAATCCCTGTTAGATCAATTTAAGGAATGAGGAAAAGATGACACCAAGTTGTTTACTGTTCTTTTTTTGAAACACACTTAATTTTTTTTAGATTTGGAAGAAATCTCCCTAAAAGCTATATTTAAACCTCAGTTGTATATTTGGAATATGCTATGCTATGTGTAGGAGAAAAAGCCTTTTAATAGACTTTTGTAGAGGATTAAAGGTTGGATTTTCCTGTAATTTACAATGAACTATGTGAATGATGCATGATTATTAAAATCTGGGAGAAGTTATTCTATAAGGCATAAAATCTTGTTTCTGTTCTTTCTTCAGGTATTATTGTGTACAGGTTGCCCTGGACCTGGAAGTGCAGCAAGTTCCTAATTAAGTTGATACATGCTGGATTAAATACCATAGCTATGATTTTTGCAATTGTTGCTCTGGTAGCCGTGTTTGATTACCACAATGCCATGAACATTCCTAACATGTACAGTCTGCACAGCTGGATTGGTCTGGCTGCTGTCATATTTTATTCTCTCCAGGTCAGAATCTAACTGTATTTATAAACAGGTTGTAAATTTGAAGAATGTGTTGAGTAATTCAGGCCCTCACAATAGGCCCTCACTAATACACTCTAACTACTGGGGTACCCATTTTACATTCTGTGATTTGGCAAATTAGCATGTAAATGTGCAAATACTGGATCCTTGACTTCAAAGAAACATGTATTTTAAAGCATATTTTGTTTATTTGCTGGGATAATGGCAGTTTATATACTATTCAGTTATACAGTAGTGTGTTTCTAAGCCCTAGAAACTGCTGAAGTTAAAGCAAGTGCTTTGGTTTGCTGGCAGCATATTTAAATACAGTTAGAGCTTTTATTAAGGAAGTCTCAAATGAAGTAATTGTTTTTCTTTTTTTCCAGCTATCATAATTTTAAGTAGTCACTTCTTGGCCTCAGGACTTGTTTATCAGCAGAATAAGTGCAGCAGGGAGCAGTGCAGATCTAAAGGATCTGACATCTGAATGATACTACTGGCTAACCAGTTTTCCTGAATCAGCAAAACTTTGATAAATGTTCATGTGCATGCTTTTAACTGCTCGTATTGGCAGAGAATTAGAGTTATCATAATCTAAAATGAGCTAACTTAGTATGTTTTGCATTTGGCATAGAAGAAGAGCAGGCATGCCCTGACATTTAGCGTACACATACAGATGTGATGTTTCTGCATATACATTCTGAATTCCCTAGATTGTGTTATTAGACTATGGAAATTTATTTTGTTGCTTCAAATTGTGATTCTTAATTTTTTTTGCCAAAACACTAAAAAGAAAAAAAAAAAAAAAGAGTTAATTGTCTGTTGATCAAGCACAGAAAACCCCCAGCTGAGGGATTTGAATTCTGGACTTTTATCCTTCACTGCTCAGGCTAGGAGGTACAGGGAGCAGTGTTGAAATAGTGATATTAAGACTTAGAAAAAAGAAAGCATACTGGAGCATTGTTGAGTATATTCTTTATAGTTGAACAACAGCTAATGAATAAGAAGGAACAGTGTTAAGATTTTCTTTGTGGTAATAGTGCAGTTATTTCAGGGAAATCTGTGCTGCCACTATACTGAGTATCGGCATTTTTTCTAATGGTTAAGATAAAGAATTGTGAATAAGATCTTAATTCTACTTTTCATTTTGCTACTATAAACATGATCAATGGCACTTAATGCCTTGCCTGTCTCATCAATAGAACTGTGGTGTTACTTCCTCCAAACTGGAATATAAGTCTCCAGTCAGAGACAGATGTTTGTTAAGTGATTGAGCACTATTGTTAAAAAATAGTGATAAAGTAGTATCTCTGTTAATAGAGAAGACACTTGGCATTTGCCAGAAATGGTGTGTCAATCTCAGAATTGAAAAATTATTGAGGGGGGGTGCTCACATAATACTATACCTACAGGAACAAGAGTGTAAATATATTGTATTTAAGCCAAATGTATGTTAATACAGTATAGCACAAGGACATAAATTTAAGAATAGGGCAGAAATGTAACATGGAGACTGTCTCTTGGAAAGCAATGGCTCTGGAAAGAAGTACTCAAAGACGACATGAAGCTCAAAATGAGTTTGCACAATGCTGTGACAACAGGAAAAGTAAATTCTCTGATAGGAGATTATCTTAACCTCCATATGTGGTGTTGGCAAAACTAATATGAAATACCATGGAATAATTTTTTTTTTAAATGCAAAAAAAAAAGGGAAAAAAAGCAAAGAAAATCTGGAGAAGCAATTTGAGAGCTGGAAAAACTGTCTTCCAGTGAAAGACTTAAAAAGCTCCAATTGTTTAGCAGATCTAAAGAAGATTAAGAGATGACTTGATTACAGTGTATTAAAAAGCTTCCCAGGGAGAAAACACCAGGCTTTTTAACCCAGCATGGAAAGACAAAACAAGGACTAAGACTGAAGTTAAAGCAAGATGAAATACAAATTCATGCACTATTTCTAATTTAGCAGCAGGGGTGAGTAACAGTAGAAGAAGCTAAAGAAGGGTTGCAACCTCAATACGACTGGGCAAGCCTGTGACTGAAACCATGTGACATGATGGGTTATCTTCCATCACAAAACTAGCGCTAATGCGAGGACTCATGTCTCCTGAAAAACTTCACGCCACTCACCCACATTTTATTCTGTAAATGCCAGTTGATTGATGTATTGAGATATAGACCGTTGCCCTTCTAAAGACGTGTACTTTAATTTAACCAAAACTCTAACAAGGTAAAATTATTTAGTCCGCTCAATTCAGAAGGTTAGACTGCCTTCTGATCTTCATTTATGTGTAAATCTGTAACAGAAGCAGAGAACAGGACTTAAAGAGACTGCACAAATGTAGCTACTGACACCTTTAATATATTACTGAATTAGTGACACTGAAAACTTGTGTTTCCAGTACTTAGTTTGGTTGCAGTTTTAGCATTACCAATAAGTTTGGACACTGATATTAGGTGGGATTATTTATAAAATACTTCATGTCTGCTTCCCAGGTGCTAATCCAGAATTATTGCTTTGGTTTTGAAAAGAAACATATTCAGAAATAAAAATGCCAATTCTTTTCAAATTTGTACATGGAGACATCTCAAAATGGAATTTTTATGATTGTTTTTATTCTGCTTGAGAAGTGCAGCTTGTTTCCCATATAGCTCTAACTGTGAATCTGTTTTGTGTTTAGGTTTTCTTGGGTTTCGCTATTTTTCTGCTCCCTTTTGCTCCAGTTACTGTCCGAGCAGCTTTCCGGCCAATACATATTTATTCGGGTCTTACCATCTTTGCAACAGTGATTGCAACATCTCTCATGGGAATCACACAAAAGCTTATCTTTTCATTGTAAGTATTTTTTTTTCACTTGTTTATTACAGTTATTCATTGCAAACTGTACTTCTGTTTGCACAGAATAATAACCATCTAGTATTGGGACATTGTTTTGTTTTGTTTTAAAAAGACCTCCTACCTGGAAGGACACTGCTGGTTTTAGGCTAGGATTGTCTTTAAAACAACTGACCTTTTTTTTTTTTTTTTTTTTCTTTCCCCTCCCTTCCAAAGGAAAAATCCTGCATATAGTGCATCCCCAGCAGAAGCAACTTTTGTCAACTGTCTTGGTGTTTTGCTTCTCACATTTGGTATACTTATTTTGTGGATGGTAAGCAAGCCCCAATGGAAGCGCCCCCCCGAAGTGAATGCTAAAGTTCTGCAGCCCTTTGGAGCGACTCCTGAAGGCAGAAAAGGAGAATCCACACTGACAGATGGTAGTAATGGAGTTAAATCTGATCTGAAGGTCAATAGTGAAGCAGCCAGAAAACAAAACCTCAAACTTGATGAAGCAGGCCAACGATCGACTATGTAAAGAAAATACACAGAACAACAGTACTATTATACTGCCAAACGCCCTTGGTTCCTTCCGATTTAGTTATATTGATATAGAAATAGGTTGGGGGTTTATTTTCAGTATGGCTTGCTCAAAGATACTCAAGTTTTCTGCCCATGAATTTAAATTCCAGTAAGTCCCAAACATATTATTTTGCTTCATGCTCAGTCCTCATTTAAAAAGTGAGAGTCTGAATGACATCACATAATGGGAAAATCACATAATTGGAAAAATGTTTTCCATATCACTTAGTAATTTAATGCTTATCTCTCTTATAGTCATGAAAAGTTAACAAGATTCAGACTAAATTTTGCTCTGAGTGATTTTGCAGGTTACGAATCAGAGTCATGAAGTATACCAGACAGAATTTAGTTGGTCACACATAATTTTTCTGGTAATGTTCACTTTTTTAAAGCCCTCATTAACCCCCTCACCAGCTGCTAAGATCTATGGGATTTGAGGTCATTCAGCACTTTGCAGAGTTGCACCATAAAAATGTTTAGTCTAAAATTTTGAATTCAAAAAAAGAAATGAAAGTTTGCCTGAGATCTTCATTAAATATTATGTTTCCTTTAAAAACTTCTACTTTTTTTTAATCGGAATGTATCTGTTGACTTTTTAACAAACTCTACCAAATATATTGTGTACAGACAACATTTGGCTTTGGATTATGTGCGATCATTACTGAAATCTAAGGAAACTGTAAGACATCCAAACGCAGACTTTGTCTTATTTGGAAAGCTATAGATACACATTTAAAAATATATGTATCACTTAAACCAAGTCTTTCTTTTATCCCAGAAGGCAGCATTTTACTATCTCTATTTGATTGCACAGTTCTACTGATTTATGGCACCAGACTAGAAATTAGGAGGTTAGAAACCAGAGAAGACTGCTAGCGGTCTTACAGAAGAAAGGAGCTTGAAGTGAGAAATGCTTCCTCCAAGGAACAGCTGAGCTTTGCTGATTTGATTAGAACCCTACCCATTAACTGAAAGCCAGTTTTGGTATCTCCACACTGGTGTCAAAATCATTATTGTCATGGGCATGAAGACATACTTTAGTCTATAAGAAAACTATATAAACTCTATGCCTTTTTAATTTGAAATTAAAGTGTTAAATAATGCAGTTTAAGTCTCTACTGGCACTTTTATAGCTCTTTCTAGTAATCAGAGTATTAACGTATTATGCTTATTCATTATTTTCACAGATATAAACAATACTTAGATTTTTTACTACTACAGAAGAATAATTATAGTAGATTATTTTGATTGCACATGTCCAAAATGATGACCTTTCTATTATAATCTCTTGTAAAAGCTGCAGAGCCCACTACAAGTCCAAATTTACCACTGTTCATGTTGCGATATAGACAGTTTCAGACAGCATATAATTTTCCATATTTTAAAGACTACATAAATTTTATCTACTTCAGCTTTTAAAAGTGTTTAAATACATTAAACTTTAGCAAATATGCAATTTTTGTAGTTCAGTGTTGTGTTAGTACAAACAATTTTGATCATGAGTTTTTTTGGATCTTCTCTGACAAGAAGCACCTCAGTTCCTGTTATTTGATTTGTAATAACATTTAATGGTGAATGCAGTATAGAAAGCTAGCATGGTAAATTATTTGAAAAACTTTTCTGCTGTACCATTTGGTACTCGAGGACTACATCCCAGAGTTCTCTGTTTTCACTTAGATATGTTTGTGGATGACTGGGACCCACCTAGCATTGGTGTATTGTTTCATTTGAGAAAATACCTGTTTTTAAATGCCTTAGTATAGAATTCAGGTATGACAGAAGGAATACTATCCTATTGTGTGAGCACTCCTCCAGTTCCACTATGTGCAATGGATCAGACAGCTTTGACCCTGTTTTTCAAGTTCCATGCAATTACCTGTCTTCCCTAAAAGTGTTCTGTGCAGCTTCAGCATAAAATCCCAAATGGTACTGATTGATAGCAGCTTTCTGAGAGAAAAACAAGAGCATTTGTTTTACATTGCATTAGTACTCAACTGACACGACATGATTATGTTATGCATCCTATTAAAAATTTATATATTGAACATTAAGTAAGAAACGGGATTCGCAGTAGCTTCTGGAGAACACTAAACTGTGCTGTTTTCTTCTGATCTCGTTACGTTCTGCTCAACTAGTCTGCTTTTTTGGTGAAATCACTAAGCATCTTACAGCTGGTGAATGCACGTTTAGTCTTTGTGAGAGATGCTCTGTTAACACTTTGTGAAGTGTAACAGGTGAAGTGAATAGGTTAACTCAACTGTTCTAGTAATTTACTATGCTAGCTTTCTATACTGCACTCACACAGGCAACAGCATTTTAAGTTTGTATGTATTGGCCTGTTACCGTGTCTCATCCACCTGGGAAAATGAGCTCATTCAATCCTTGCATAGTACTAAGTCATCTAGTAAAAGTGTGCGTTTGTGTGGAAGGATTGTTCTGGAAGAAACTCTAACTGTACAGTATTCTGGAAAAAAAAAACAACAAAATCTGTGATTTCTTTTGTTACAACACTGACTTGGATGTATTGAAATCAACAGTTTTTCGGTGAATGGTTCTATATGCTGTTAAAGTTAAGCTATCGTAACCAGTATGCCTTCTGGTTTACATTTTAGTCCATACTGTTCAAGAGTAATGGTAATTGAGAAAGAATGGTGACGTTTCTTTACTTCTCTATTCTGATGATATAAAACTAATTGAAAATCAAGGATTAGCAACCTTTTGAGGGTAGTCTGCCAGACTAGATTTTTGTTTTTCAACGTTGAGGTTAAACATGATAGTAGAAACTCAACGGGAGCTGGAAGATTCCATTCTGGGAAATTATCATAATAGGTGATATCTCACGTGTATGAACTGTGGGCTTCTGGCTGCTTTGGTCTTTGGAAGGCCCCCATGAGATGCAGTAGCTGTGAGCTCCTAAACCTTGCTCAACCTTGGTGTGTGCAATTTAACACAGACTTTTGGGTTCTGTTCTAAACTGATTAAAAAGGTCTTGAAGTATCCTTACAACATAGGAGGTTAGGTCAAGTGCTAAATAAAAATACATAGGACTTTGGAGAGTAATTTACTCTGGAAAAAACCATATTCCTAAAGCTGCTTCTCAAAGTGGCCTTCTATTAACTTTCCTTTCATGCAACTTTTCTTACCTGTATTTATGTGTAATAGTAGCAGCACAGGAAATGAAAAGGTATATTTTCAAAGATATAATTGGAAGGTAGAACTCTAGCTTTTTTATCAGGGTTTTTCTGCATCTTTGGAAATCATCTACTTTGTTGTTTTCACAGGGACATGACTGTAGAGCTTACATTCCAAATTTGGATTCCTATAAAAACATAGGAAGTTACAAAACCTAACATTAAAAGTCCTATTTTTTTAAGATGACTGAAAAAAAAAAATATTTTTGTAACATATTTACATGCTGTCATGCAGTACTGCGCACAGTAGCAGAACAGTGTTTTTTCCAACATTAATGACACTGAGAAATGCAAATTAGATTTTAAAATTGAATGTACAGTAATTACATGTACACTTCTTACTACATGTAACCAAGAAGATTGCATATGATATTGTAAATATGGATTACTTGTTTACATGGATATTTTATTGAGAGACTAAAACATGTTGCCAAATATTTTCTATTTCAGAAAATTCCTTCCTCTATTTCTAACTGTTCACAGGAACTTATTATTGTGTTACTCACAGTACATATTTGTAGATGAAAGCAAATGTTTAATTACAATGCATATTTTCCTTACTCTTTTCTGTATCTTAATAAAAATGCTTTTTCAAGCCTATGATACCACTGAGTACAGATTTATATTATGGTACTAAAATACGACTTTCTAAATTTGGCAAAAGATCAAATTATTCTTATAATTACTTTTTGGAAAACAGGACGATAGTTGTACAAAATGTCTTAAATATTTCTTAATTCCAAGTATTCCTGATGATCTTCCTGATGAAATTTAGTGTTAGAAGGATAATCAGTATATAATGGAAAGTGAAGGAATTCACTGGATAAAGAAACAATCTGTGTTTCACCTTCTGATCATAACAGAAATTCCCCATAGCAGTTGTTGGAGAGGAAAAAAAACCAAAACTATTCTCAGTCATGAGATTTCCAGAGCAAGTAAGGGAAGATAAATTCTGTGATGACGGTCACATAATGCACTGTAAGATCCAAATATCCTCAGATAAATAACAGCCAAACTGAACACAGAGCAAAAGTTTTGACCCCATGGAATCTTCTGACCCAGATTTAACATCTGCACATCGAGTTACTCATCAATAGGTTATTGATCATAAAATGCTATATATGGCAAAACCATCTATATGAACATATCTGTAAGAAGTAAGAATTAAGGTGAGTACGTTCTTGAGCTTAGTAAGATTAATTGGAAACTCTTCTAAAAGTATAAAGCATAAACTGATTATTCCTGAATATCATACAGCTGTTGGCTAAAACTTTCCAACATCATCATCATCATGGAAGAGTAAAAAATACTGTTACAATCATCAGGATAGCAGAAAACTTGCTGTATTCAAACCTGACAATTCCCTGTTGCTGATAACTTCTCTTAACTGTCTCCTGTAAGCTGGATTTTTTGGGGAAAGTTCTGGTAAAATGGTCCATATTTTTTCAATTGATAATTACAAAATTCAGTAAAAGCTCAATTGTTTTCACACTTGAAAGAGGGGACTCAAAATTTTAGCAGGAGGACTGCATTTGTGTGGAGAAGTGTTTTTTGTAAGTAGTTGATGGAACCCTTGTAACTTATGTACAGATTTTTGCATTGTGTTATGGTATGAGCAACACTTTGGATCTCTAGTGGGCAGTAACGAAGGGTAAATTACTGTACAGGAAGAGACTGAAGTCCAGGTCAAAAAAATGGATGACAACCATTCCAAACGATGCGGCTAACAGAAGAGAGGAGGTAAAGCTGAGAAAATCCAGTTACT